TGCGTGCATGCTTCTTTATGTGTGCATTTTGATTAGTCAGTCATGCATGTGAAGTGTACATACTTTTATTTCTATCAGACAATGTTGTCGGCTTGTGTGTGAGTCATAATGACATGCGAGAGAAAACGTCAACATTTGTATGGCTTTATCACTGTGTTTGTGACAAGACAAAAAAGAAAGAGAAGAGACACGTCCTCGCATAAAATTATGACAGTATGTGTCTACATAGAATTTTGTAAGTGTGTTTGCCATAAAACGGGCGTTAGAAGGAACATATTTAAATATATTTTGTGAGTCGGAAATGGGACCACACACACACACACACACACACGCACACGCACACACACAAACTATACACATATATATATATATATATATATATATATATATATATATATATATATATATATATACAAATATGAATATATACATATACATATATATATATATATATATATATATATACACACATATATATATAATATATTTTCTGTTTATACGTTATTTTTATAGATATGATTTATTTAAGAAATGATCCATTTTTTAATTAAACTGTATTAATTATATTTACCGGCCTGAATGTTCCATAAAAAAATATGCGCTCTGTGAGAGGAATGCAACCCTGATGAGAACAGTCATCTGATCGGACGTGCTGTTAACCATTCAACCACAAAGAAGCGTCTGGTTGGTAAAGTTCGAATTACTGTTCGGTAAGACACATCGTCCACGATTTTTTCTCGATTGATCAAATCAGCTCACGAAACATAACTTAACGTAAGCAATGACAACATATTATTTAATGGTTTAAGTCCGACAAAGATTAGGGTCAGGGTTAGTTGTGTGTTTATAAAATATTAATTCGGATTTTGCTAACCAGACACTTCTTTGTGGTTGAATGATTAACACCACGTCAGATCAAGAAAATTATGATTGATTTTACATCATTGTTATAATTTATGGAGAAAAATGAAACATTTCAATATTACTCAATGATCTTGCGGGTGCGACCTCCATCTTCAGATTAACCTGCTAGTAAAGAAAATCGATGTAGCGAGAAATAATTTTGAAAGTGTATCTGATATATAGCCTTACCATTTTTATACTTGCTTTCAAACTCACAATAACGTCCGTTTACTTTCTGCGACAATACTCTGTGAATTTGGTCCTCCTAACGGCTTTCTTTGCTGCTATTTTTTTCAAAATCTTCGCCGATTCATTCTTTGTACTTTGTATCTGTGCGATTAATTGCAGCATAGACTCATGTAACTAGTCCGGTCAGTAAATTCCTTTTCTCACCCTACATACACTAATTACTCCGATGGAGCGTCGTCTCCAGAAACAGTTTTTAGTGTTGTATCCAGTAAACTCGCCACACCCATGGGTAATGACTTCTGCTAGTCTGGTCGGCTAATTGAATAACTTTCATAGTTAAGCAGCTCCAAGTAACTACAGTCCTTCGTTCCAGCACGGCTAGGACCCGCCATACCACTTACATTGTAACAAATCACCCACTTTCCCTCTGTATTCCATCGGTGGGACGTAAATTCCACTCAAACAGCTTCAAACGGCGATCCCCTGCTCTGTGGAACAGAGTCCTAAGAGGATGTTTCCTCCGATCACTACAATCTTAACTTGTGCATGTCATATTCACCTCCCATCCGTATAAACTACCCCTTAACTAACCCTCTACCTCGATTGGAACCCCAGGCCTTGTACAGGGTGAACTTTACTATATATATATATATATATATATATATATATATAGTGCTTTTCGATAAAAGTGGTGACTCGCCTGATTTTTTTTTTTTTTTAATAAATGTTCTCTTCTCCGATGAAAAGAAAGTTGAGCTAAATTCAAAGGATAAGCGATCAAAAATCCGAAGAAGAAACTTTGAAAGCTCTTTGAATTTAGCAGTAAATACTGTCAGGTGAGCGTTTTGACATGGGTGCCCCAATCTCCTGACCTCAACCCCATAGAAAACTTATGGAGCATGTTGCTCAACTGCTTTTTCGAGAGCCTGTACTTTATAAAGCTCATTAAGTTTTCTATGTGGTTGAGGTCAGGAGACTGGGGTGGCCATGTCATAACACTCACCTGCTTCTCATCAAAGTATTACTTCATCGATTTTGATTTGTGACAGGGAGCATTATCCTGCATAAAAATGAGCTTGGTGGGGTCGATTTGCACCCTTTCAGCAGAAGGGATCCGACAAGACTTTAAAATTCTCTTGTACTGTTCAATCCTGAGGGTCTTTTCAATAGGTTTCAAGAAACCAGTTCCATGAAAAGAAAAGCATCCCCAGAGCATTATACTGAATGGATGCTTGACAGTACTTACTGCTAAATTCAAAGAGCTTTCAAAGCTTCTTCGGATTTTAGATCGCTTATCCTTTGAATTTAACTTTCGTTTCATCGGAGAAGAGAACATTTAATAAAAAAAAATCAGGTGAGTCACTTTTATCGAACAGCACTGTATATATCAACTCACCGAGATATGATGTAATGCGTGCTAAGGGACGATCTCCTCCAAGATGATTTTAATCAGTGGCATTCTCCCCATCAAGTTCTCCTGGAATTACTGCCAGCGGCTGGACTGAGTTCTCTTCACTATCTTCCTAAAACAGAAACTAAGTTTATACCATTGCGCTTCCGTTGGATCATCGTCTAACAACAGTCGCAGCGCATTACCATACGCGCTTGTATCTAGTGTGTTACCGATAACAAACAGATACTCTCGAAATATGAGAAAAACTAGTATCAAGAACGTAACATGCAGCTGAAGACTGCAAACTGATACAACCCATGGTGAAACTGAATAAGATCACTTGAAACATGATGGACATCAGTGAGATTCTAAGTAAAGAAGAAGCTGAAAGTCAGTAAACATCTACTTTCTTATAAAGTAAAAGATAATGATATATTTCGTGGCTGGAGACGTTTAGCCAATAATAACTTTGCATACAATGTCGAAAGTGTCGATAGTGTGACAGACAGAGTAGACTTGATAGTTTTCTATTTATGTACTTTAAAAATAACCCAAGACTGTGTACCAAGATAGACAAGTTTTTTGAGGAAAATAAAGGGTTTTAAGATGGATTCACTAGCACTCAAGCGGAAAGAAAATAAATTTCATCGTTTCATAATAGATTTCAATTTAAAATAAGGACAAGAAAAAATAAAGAATCTTGTGTAAAAAAAAGTTTGCAACAGGAAAGACAACGAAAGAGGAGAATGGTGAGTTAACTTTTAAAACCAAAGTGGGCGGTAAATAGCAAAACATAAAGAATAAATGGAATAAAGTGTTCTTCGATTGGTGTCCAGCAAACGTAGTAGGAAAATGTCATATACGTGGTAGGAAAATGTCATATATGTAGGAGATAGTGATATGAAATAGAGGGGTTTATTAATAAGACATGAAAATAGTCACAGTAGTCATGGAAGAATTTGGGAAAGTTCTTTATTCTGCAATGGAGTAGAAATTGCTAGGGGTTATGATTATTATAAGTCAGCTGCTTAATTGCATAAATAGCTTGTATTTTACACGACAAATACTTACTTTTAAACATTCCTTCATTGTCAGTTTTTTTTGGGTTTTTTTATCATTTCTCCCCAACCAAGGTAACAGATCTACTAGCATGCAGGGGGGCGGGGGTTAGTGAGTATGAAAGAATATAAGAAAAACATTATTAAGGAGGGAGAACAATAAAAGAACACAATTTATGTGGACAGAAGATAACGATTATCATTGCATTTAAATTTTTGAAAGATCAAAATTGAATGGAAAACAAGAAACCAGAAGAGAGTTCTACGTGAGAAGTTTATCCTAACATAGAATAACAAACTTAACATAACTTTATACTAACGTAGAACTTACGGTTGCATCTAGTCATTTCAACTGTAAAATAATGAGATCCTGTCGCAAATCTAGTAATGCTCATAAATTCATGAAGTTTAGGTACCATAGATGAGCGTTCCTTAGAATATTTATAGAAATGGCAGGAAAGAAGCTGCGTTACGGCGGTGTGAAAGTGACTGAAGTGGAGATGACAAGTCAGGACCAAACAATGATTTTTCTTGGATTTTATAAAAGATCTCTAAATATATAGGAGGGACACCAGACCATTAGTGGCAGCAATATTCTAAGAATGGACAAATGTTAAACTTGTATATATGCAAGATATGTTCTGGTGATACATATTACCTTAATTCAGTGAAAATAATTACTACGTGTTAGGATCTGAATTTATTAAACCACCACTCAACTATATGTAATTATTAGAGAAACAATGTGTTGATATATTTTCAATATAAATCCTAAGTATCACTATTTTAATGGCAAATGTTTTGACAAGTTACATTAATTAGTTCTGGCAGTGCAGGCATTCAGATTTCGCCATGGCAAGTACCTTGGGATAAATCATCCCAATTCGCTTCAAATTCTATTAACAAGAAGGATCTTCTATTCTATTAGGACAGCTTCTTCCCAAGAAATGCTACTAATGGACGCTTCCTCGATCGCTGCAAACTTAACCTTTTCAAGTCTATGATAAAATCGTTATCGTTTAAACATGCCTCATAATCTGCACTTCTTACACCCTCCTCTTATTTTCATACAAGAAGATCATCCAGTAATCCTCTACCTTGAGTGGATCTTAAGCCTGGCATTATGTGATCAATTACTAAAGAAAGAAACGTCACAAGTTATATAAACAGTTATATGAACAATTGACTTGAGTGTAAACTGCAAAAGTGCTGATAATAATCACAAATAACTAAAAAATAATTTAAATTTAATAATGATTGACTGATCGTTTTTCTATGGCTTACCAACCATTTGCAGGTTATTTAAAGCCAGAATATATTTGAAAGAATTTGGGGGGGGTGCTAATAATGTTTTAGTTATACAAGTCTTACAAGGATAAGTAAATAGAATGAACCCAACGGGAATTGAAACTCGGCTCTCTGATTAACAAATCCACCACAGCACCTGCACATCCAAGCTTACAACACCTGGTATTCTCAAGTGATCATTCATCTAGGTACTGACCACGCTCGACGTTGCTTATCTTCGGTGATCGTATGGGTTTCGACCTAATGAGGTCGTAAGCCCAAATTTTGGTGAAATGGCTGTGGGTCAGGGAGGTAAAGGTGCAATGTACTTACATTTTGTTGTTGAAATCCTTACTAAACAAAAATCTTGTTATCTTTATCAGCCTTTTATAGTTACAGTGATCACGTGACAGGGTTGCCACGTGATCACCTGAACTTGTATAAAAGAAGAGGAAATCTGTCTCTCCCTTTTTAAAAAAATAATTTCCATGTTATCAAGTTTTCAGACTGTTATACGTCGCAAATTAACGTGTGTTCTATTGCTTTTTCCTCTGTTCTTTTGTGGGGACGCGAGCATTTTATCAACAAAATTTTGTAATGAATGATAGAATCTCTAAAAATAACAATTAAAAGAAGGCTCTTTTTAAAATGTATTTTTTTCTGCCGGTAATATATGTCAACAGATTATTTTGAAAATTATCACAATTTAAAAAATTTTAAAAGATATAATTATCTCATTGAAAACTGACTATTTCTGTCCATCATATTTCTAAGACATGTTGCAATCTAATTTGCATAAGGTGGATATAATTTGATGTGCTGTTATCGATCTAAATATTTCCTTAAATCCATCAGTGCTTTCAAAAATTAATTTGTTTACTTGTAATTCCTTATTTCAGGTATTGGTGGCGTCATTTCAGCTTGGCGGCAAATATTGTGAAACGGCAGATTCTTTTTTTCTAAGGAGATAGAAGACGTTAAATGAAACTGCAAATATTCACTGATTTATGATAGGAGTAATGGTCATTAAAAGAGATCCTTAGTGGAAAATGCACAAGTCGAATATATTTTTAAATACAATCTTGGTCATCTTGACGAGACAGTCATGACGATTTTCTAAGCGTAGCTTAGATGTGGCAAAAGGCCGAAAGTATGGGAACCCATAGCGGATCGAAATCACTACACAGTCGCAATTGTTCAAGCGAGACAACCTTTACACCAGGTCGAGTTACTCCAAAACAAACTGCCATGTACTAATTCTGTTCCTCTGGTTGCAACATGTTTATTATTTTAGTCATTGAACCTGTTCTAGTGTTGTCGTAGGTTTTGAATTTCGAACTGTAGTTCTCCTAAACTGGTTGTTGAACAAAACTTGTGAACCTAGTCTCCCAAGTAGAGAAGAGACACATTTCCCCACGGGAATTTTTCAGTGGATCTGAACGTAAAGATCGTTCCCGGAATTTGAACTCGGCCAGCCGATCCCAAATGTCACATTGGTTTCCATTACCACGGTTCGGAGACTTAAGTTCTTTTCCATGTATATTTTCGCTCTTAAAATAAGGTTTAAATAAAAACTAAATTACTACAATTGTTTTATTAATTGAAACATAATAAAACGTTCGCAGTATATAACGAAAATAAATCATTTTTTTATCCATATATTAAGAAATAACTAATCGCTGTCAAATGATATATATCTATTTCAGCGCCGTGTCCTTTAGCAAATAACTATTAAATCACACATAATCGTTTTCAAATTTTCCATAAAATTTATATCTTTAAAAAGAAGAATTAAAGAAAAAAATATAACAATATTTGGGAAGGATATCAGAATTATTCCAGGACCTAAACTGGGAGCAAACCGCCTGCACACGGATTTTAAAAACTGAATTCAGTAAATATGCCAAAATAGAAATATGTGTAAAACAAGGATGTGTCTTCTCACCGAACTTATTCAGTGAGGCGAGTCTGAGAGAATTAGAAGTCCTACCTAAATTGCAACAATTCCTACATAATATAGTGAAGGAAAGCGAAGACAATGGGCTAAACATCAATGGCAAAAGAACAGAATGCGTAGTTGTCAGCAAAAAGAATAGCCCAACATGCAAATTACGAATTGGAAGTACCAAAATCAAGCAAATACAATAATTTAAATATCTGGGAAGTGTTTTAACAGAGGAGTGAAAGTGAAAAACCGAAAGCCGAAAGCGTATTGGGATAGCGAAAGGATAGCTTCCAAAGGCTAAGCAAACTATTGAGAAACAGGAAAATTGCGTTAGAATCAAGAAAAAGAGTATTGAACTGTTAGGCAGTACCAGGAATCCTATATGGCAGTAGATGCTGGAAAATCTCCTCACAAATATAGACCAGGCGTGAGGCAACAGAAATGTGATTCTACAGAAGGATGTTGAGAATCCCATTTAGAGAAAGTGGAAACAAAAAGAGCGCTCATAATTAACATCAGAAACAGAAAGTTGAAATTTCTACTGTGTATAATGAGGAAAGACGTCTTGGAAAGTTTAACATTCACAGTATATATCGAAGGCAAGAGGGACTGAGGAAAACAGAGCATAACAAATTATTAAATGGATTAGAAAACAGGGTTTAAGAGAGATAGCAGAAAGTCAGTATTTACAAAAGACAGGGAATTGTGGAAAGCGATGATAGTTTACATCCTGAATGGATATGACACATAAAAAAAAGAAGAAGAAGAAGAAGAAGAAGAAGAAGAAGAAGAAGAAGAATGAAGAGGATGATGATGATTGCATAGAAGCAGATATCTTTGTGTTTAAAATTTTTAAAAGTCAACAAATTAATGGAATCGTTATCTCGGTAAAATTTCGTTAGAGATAAAGAAAAGAAACATTTCGTTAAAACAAAAGAAAAGACTGTTGAACTGCTCTGTATTAGCAATCCTTCTATATAACACTGAATGCTAAACAATTTCCTCTGAGATGAAAAGTGACTAACATAAAAGTGGTTGTACAGAAGGATGCTGAGAATATCATGGACGGAACATATGAACAACGAGAATGTTCTAAGGAGAATAGAAAAAAAAAGGACATTTATACTTAGAATCAGAATGAGACAGTATAAATTTCTGGGACATAATGCAGAAAGGGGGCTTGAAGATTTTTACACGCACAGGGCATAATGAAAGTAAGAGAGGCGAAGGAGGTATTATGTAAGCTAACAAGTAAATCGATGCAGAATTGAATGGTAAGATAGTAAGGAAATAAATATTTATAAGAATTACAAAGTAGAGTAAGTTCAGAATGCCATTGT